ATCTTGTGCACCGTTTTCGTTTTGCTCTGTGCTCTCGCAATTTGCATACGCATTAAATAATTATGTTGTGCTGTAAGAAACCGTGCACGTTCAAGCAGGCTGATGATTCTGCACTGCCGCAATTTGTTAATTGCTGGCTGTGTGAGAATATGATGCATGCTAAATGTGTAGGTCTCACTGGGCGTGATTGCGACAAGATCGCTGCTATTGCCAAGAAGGGCTGTGGTGGCTTGCGTTGGTCGTGCCCAGAATGCATCGACAAGCAAATTGATTTCTCTAGAATGTATAATTCTGTGAGAAGTCAATTCTTAAAATTAAATAATGTGGCTAAGCAGCTCTCGAGTAATTTTGACTCGAGTTTCGAGCTGCTTGGCAAATATAAATTTGAGTCCCCAACCAATCGCCGGTTGGAGCCTCAACTTTTGCAATTGCCCTCTACGTCTGTTCAGACACCTACTACTTTCTTGTCCCTTCCTAGCAACTTGGAGGTATCTCCAATGTTGTCTTTATCGCCTTCTCCAAGCGACTGTCCAATTACCCCTGTTTCAACCCCTGTACTAGTCCCAGTAGAGCCCGTACCTGATCCCGTCCCAATTAATCAAACTGCCTCAGCCCCATCAGCTCCTGGCCGCAAAGGTAGACCTGCACGCAATCTTGCCCAGATTGTTAAAAACAATCATTGTGCCTCGCTAGCTCCCCCAACCCCTGTATTACCTACAGCCCCACCAGCGCCTACTTTAACGGTAGTTGCCCCTCGTAGGCAAGTCTTTGTGTCTCGACTTTCGTCGGACACCACTTCTGAGTCATTGGCAGCCTATATTGCTAGCAAATCTTCTGCTAGCGTGTCAATAACTAAATTTAATTTCTCCACCCCTCGTGAAATATCATCATTCAAAATAAATGTTTCACATGATATGTTCCCAATCATTTGTGATCCCAAATTTTGGCCTCCACACATGATTGTTCACGAGTTCAAGCCTAAAAAGCGTAACCAGCCTGTCACCCTTCCAGTCCCTTCAATACAGGGTACCATTTCTGCCCCAAAAAACTAGCTTCATCTTCTGACCAAATCTTTATTCATTATCAGAATGTTAGAGGTCTTATTTCAAAACTTAAAAATTTATTCATGGCCAGCACTTCCTTCAATTCGGATATAATAGCATTTTCAGAAACATGGTTGAACTCAACCATATCTGATTTTGAGATTTTATCAAATAACTTTAGTTTGTATCGAAATGATCGGCCGACTCGAGGTGGTGGGGTGTTAATTGCCGTTAAAGCCACTCTCCAGTCTGAACTTTTCTGTTTTAGTACGCCTACTGACGCTGAGATTGTCTCAGTTAAGGTGTCTTTTCCTACACGGAATGTCTATGTAACATGCTCTTATGTCCCACCTTCTTCTGATATTCAAGTTTATATGAAACATATTACTTGTATTAAAGAAGTTTCTTCACACGTGCGTGATAGTGACCTATTTATGGTGTTGGGTGATTTTAATTTGCCCAACATCTCTTGGTCATTATTTACTGCCAAAAATTATCTAGTGCCCTCAGCACAGCACGATTTTATAGACTGCATGCTTGATCTTTCGTTGTTTCAAATCAATTCAATTTCTAATCATTTGACTAGAACACTTGACCTTGTATTTGTTAACGACTACCTTATTTCTAATGTGTCTAGGTCCCCTCCTTTATCTCTTCCTGAGGATGTCTATCATCCAACTTTAGAGATTGCAATGCTAAATTGTAATCCTCTCATTTCGTGCTCATCAGCCAATAAGCCCCGCTATTGCTTTCGCAAAGGAAATTATTCTTTGCTGAATCAGCTTATTTATTCAACCGATTGGTCTTTCTTATATGACTCAGTTGATATGAATACAGCTATTAATTTTTTTTACATCACCCTAATCTCCCTCTTAGATGTGTGTATTCCTAAGTCAATTCCTTCGACTACTTTTTCAAAACCACCCTGGTTTACTACCAGATTATCACATCTAAAAAATGTAAAATCCAAATATTTTAAAAAGTTTAAAAAGTCTGGTTCGTGTACAGACTTGGCTAAATATTCCATAGCCAAGTCGAACTTCTTTCTTCTTAATTCTCAATGCTATGAGAATTATCTAATACGTTGTAAAAGACAATTTTCCCGAAATCCGAGACAGTTTTATAATTTTGTAAACTTGAAGCGTAAATCTTCAAGTTTGCCATCTTCTTTTTTTCTTGGCTTGGATAAAGCTAGCAATGACACTGATTCTGCTAACCTGTTTGCTAATTTTTTCCAATCAACTTACTCTTCAGTCTGTCCTAATACTAATGCTTACCCTTATACTATTTCTTCCGCAAGTTATATACCTCCTCTAATTATTTCACACTCCTCTCTCCTATTAGCTATAAACTCTTTAAAGTCTTCTTACTCTCCTGGGCCGGACAATATTCCTAGTTGTCTTCTCAAGGAGTGTAGTTCTTCCCTTCTTTATCCATTGCTAAAGCTTTTTAATCTATCCCTTGAAACTTCTGTCTTTCCATCTCTTTGGAAAGAATCTTATATCATTCCTCTTCACAAGAAAGGTGGGAAGTCTGATATACAAAATTACAGGGGCATTGCAAAACTGTCCGCTATTCCTAAATTATTTGAAAAAATAATCACTTCGAATTTGCAGCATTTCTGCAAATCAGTTGTTTCCCCTGTTCAACACGGATTCGTAAAGAATCGGTCAACTACGACCAATCTGCTTGAGTTTACTTCCTTGGTAAACGATGCTTTCCTTTCGAAAATGCAAACTGATGTCATTTACACTGACTTCAGTAAGGCGTTTGACTCTGTGCACCATGACATTTTACTTTTTAAACTTGACCGAATAGGTTTCCCCCTGTCTCTTCTGCTTTGGATTAATTCTTATTTAAAAGGTAGGACCCAAAGAGTAATGCTGAGGCTGACTACCTCTAAACGGGTTCACGTTACTTCTGGTGTTCCTCAAGGTAGTCATCTTGGACCTTTACTCTTTACCCTTTTTATAAATGATCTCCCCTCTGTCATATCACATGCCCGTGTACTCATGTATGCGGACGATGTCAAACTTTTTCTATCATACACTAATCCCCTACATCATTCTCGTCTACAAGACGATTTGAACGCTATGCAACTATGGTGTTCGGCCAATCAATTGCATCTAAACTGTTCAAAGTGTATGTTTATGACTTTTAATCGTACTACACCTTATCTTGTCAGTTATACAATCGACAATATCCCTTTGCAACGTATACTAACAGTTAAGGATCTAGGCGTAATTTTTGATTCTAAACTCTGTTTCAATCTTCACATAGATACCATCGTTAATGAGGCAAAAGGTGTACTTGGATTCATTAAACGATGGTCTAAAGAGTTTAACGATCCTTTTATAACAAAACTTCTGTACATCTCTCTTGTTCGCCCTATCCTTGAATACTGCTCTTGCATTTGGTCTCCACAGTATAACAACAGCCAGGATCGTATTGAATCTGTTCAGAAGCAATTTCTGCTTTTTGCCTTACGAGGTTTAAATTGGGACCCTAATCTTCGGTTGCCATCCTACTCCAGCAGACTGCTTCTTCTCAACCTTCCGTCGTTAACCAACCGTAGGACAATTCTCGGTGTTGTCCTTCTACATAAGTTGATTATTGGCGACATAGATTCTCCTTTTCTGCTAGGGCGTCTTCAATTCTCTGTTCCGGCTAGACCAACCAGAAATTATCGCCCCTTTTTACTATCTACGTGCACAACAGACTACGCTATGCACAATCCTTTTCGCGTGCTATGTAAAAATTATAATAGTTTGCATCACGTTTTCTCTACCGAACTGTCTCTACCCCTAATAAAATCGTTGCTTTCAGGATACCTTCGGGAAGTCGCTGACCATTCCCAGCTATGAGCAGGGGCATAGCTTGCCGGACAGGCTGAAAAATTTTTCCCCCACCGGGTCGGTGATTTCCCATTACATTTCTCTCTGTCCTATCTACTTAACACTCTTTATCTAACTTACATTGCTTTACTTTATTAACAATTCTTCTTACTTTCATTTTTCCTATTTATTGTATTTTCTTTATTAATATAGCAAATTAAGATTATTTTAATGCTACTTGAAAACACTTTTTTCCTACTTACAACCTTCTGCTTAGATGTAGGCTCTAATAGCGTCACTGACAAAATTAGCTGTGAAAAGGGGCACAGCTGGCCGGACTGGCAAATAAAACACCTCCATCGGTCGGTGATGCTATTTAGAAAATTGTATCCTTTAACTAGGCTTTTAGCATAAAATTCTATTGTATATTCTACTGAATAATGAGGAAGACACTCGTTTTGTCGACCATTAATAAATAAATAAATAAATAAATTAAAAAAAAACTCAGCATCCCGGCTAACAGATATTCCGGCTAATATTAGTCTAGATAATTAACTTAGAGTTGGGTACTTCAAAATGCAACTAAAGGTTTATTATGAATAATCGAGAATCGACCCCTTTTCAATCGTAATCGAACAAATTGATAACAATTCACTCAATTATTTTAATCGAGTTTGTTTGTAGAAAGGAAGCTCGAATTAGTACTACGACTTATTGGTGCTGGGTACAGGGTATCTCGTGCCTGGCCTTCCCCAACCAGATCATTTTCCTAATTCTCTTGACTGAAGCTGTCGCTGAATCAATCGAGTTATTATCGAGTTATTGAACGATTACTTTAGGATAAACAACAATAACAGTAATATGATGAAGCTTGGTATCACATATTGAAAAATAAACTATTTATTTATAGTATATGTGTATGACTGTGACAAACTGTATTTAACAAGAGACTTAACAATTAGTTAATTTTTAATATGTGCTAAGTTTACCCGAGCTAAAAACAAAAATGCAATCCAGACTTGCAAAATATCTAGAATATTAAAACCGTTTCTAAATCTATTGAGTAAGTATCTACTTTTAATTTATTGAAGCATTTCGGGCAGCAGCACCGTAACTGAAATATTAAAACGTTTTAAGTTTTCGACTCTCCATAGAATATTTGTTATATTTCCTGTCATTAGCATGGGTAAAACTCTTAGATTGCCTTTGAACCCACGCTCAGGCCACATCATTAATACGAAAAAGCAGTCGCATAAGTCATTTCAATTGTTGAAAATGTTCATTCAAGAAGAGCGCGAAAATTAAAACTGTTGGTAAAGAGTTCGGGGCTCCGAAAACTTTATGCTCTCAGTGACTTCTGTTGAGAGGGGGGGTATTGGTAGAGAGAAGTACTATGATTATGGGAAAACTTTGATTGGCAACCTGAGGGCGCATATTATTTACCGTAGTCTATTCAGCTTCAGCACAGTATCAGAGATCCGTCTATCCATCTTGATGTGCGCTATTGTATATTTACACAGTCTGTCGCGTTGTAAAAGTTTTCGGAGCCAGCACAAATCGACGTTTGGCAACTTTTAACGCACCCGCATGCATTTCTGCTTGCCTCAAATTGTTGCAAATAAAATTCCCGCCCGCTTTTCGGGAACCAGCTCGTAATTTCTTAAATAGTTACTCATCATCCTTATCTGGAGGGGCACGAAAGGGTTTGTGGGGCACAGCTATGGCTCGGCATTGGCGCTAAGTGTTGGCTGGTATATATGCTGCCTGGCTGTGTGTGGCATAGGTAAAATACTTGTGTTAATTTATATGACATACAGTCTGTCGCTTTTTGCACTGTGTGTGTATATTGATGGGGCCACAGTGTGCTTCTGCATTTTGCCTAGTTCGCGTTTGCTTGTGGAGAGCAGATTTGTCAATTAGGCCGCATCGTTATAGTTTACATAAAACTATCAAAAGAGAACAGGCTAAATACAAGACAAATCCTTTTAAGCATGCTCGACAAACAGATGCCCTAAAATTTAATAAAGGAATTATCTGTTATATAAGTTTAATATATAAATCCGCATATTCAATTCAAGAACATTTCAAAAAGTTGTATGATTTCATTGCGTTGAATGTATCCATTTTTTGACAACAGTCATCGGTCTGTCTGCTAAAATTGTTTCCAACTTTATGCTCGCTGCACAAAAAACAAGCCACAAAACCGTTGCGCGCTTGGAAAAGTACACGCAAAGGCAAATATGGCGCAGTTGCAAAACATTCCCCGCGCTAACCCCTCCCAACAAGCCGCTTTGCACAAGTGCGGTGGTGTCGAGAGCGAGTGGCGCATTTGCCGGGCATCTAATCAACAGAATTTAGCGTCATTTGAGTGCGTGCGACATGTAAACTGTGTGTTGCATGTGGCATGGGCAGGACAGGGGGAAAAAAGGTGGCGCAGCACATTTGTGAGTATCACTGACAGGCATTACCGCTGCCGATGCCGATGCCTCTGCCGCTGCCTCTGCCGCTGCCGCTGCTGCTGCGGGTGTCATCAATTTGCGTTTGCTGCTACCCTGAACACCAATCACAGCCCCCTCCCACTGCTATTCGGCTGCTGTTGGCACTGATTTCGCGCTGATTTTGCAGGAGCCGCAAAAAACGAGACGCGCATCAAATCCATCAACGGGTTGAAATTGCAACGTTGAATATGAAAAAAAAAAAAACGGGTGTGGGTTGAGACGAGAAACCCAAGTCAAATCACCGGTGGAGGACAACATGCTGATGACACACGCTGCCACCCGTCGATGGCTGAGCTGATGCGTGACACGAATTCCAGTGTCCTGGCCGTCCTACTCGTCCTAGTCCTGGCCTGGCCTGGCCTGGCCTGGCCTGGCCTGAGAGCCAAAAGTAGATGCCGCTTAAAAATTTAAATTGTATTTGCGGCAGCGGGCGACACAGCTGGTGGTTGGGCAGGTGGTGCACACTAAATCAAAGTAAGGATAACGCCCTACCTTAACGAGCGACAGGCGACAGTAGACATGCGACTAGCATCACTCGACGGCTCATGTTCCAAGAACAAAACAAAAAAAAAAGACCAAAATTGCACATAAAAATTGCAAAAGCCGGTGGCACTGCTAGCTGCTAGCTGCTGGCTGCTGGCTGTTGGTGGTTGGTGGTTGGTGGTGCTTCTGCCACCGGGTACCGGCAACGACTAAAATTCAATCGTACATTTTGCACACAGTGGGTAAGTGGGGGCAGGCGGGACACCTGCTGATGAGCAAATCTTAAGTGCAATAAAGATGGAGACGCAACAAAATCCAAAGTACGTGCAGCTGAACCCCGGCCAGGTTCCACTATGGTTCCACCTGGTTCACTTACTTAGCGGGATTTTCAGTCTCGTGTTTTCAAAGTTCCAAGCTTGCCATTCTTTTAAGTAGTACATGGCCCACCTAGGCAGCCAGCCTGTCTCTCTATAAGGCTTTTTGTTTTGTTCTACTTTCACGTTAAATCGTAAATTTTGCTAAAATAAAAAAAAGTAGAAAAAAAGAAAAATGGAAAACTTTGAAGCGCCTACGTGACGCACTGAAGCAGATTTCTGTAATACCCACCAAGCAGTACGATTCTACGTAGGTATAAAAACACAAAAAAAAAACATAAAATAGTTTTTCTGCCTTTGCCGTGCGCAAAAGTTGCGCTAAACTCAGACGCAAGTGTTAAGTGCGTTGGGTTAGCCAAGCAGCCAACTGGAAGAAGAAGGGGAGTTGAAGGCTTGAGGTTAGGGGTTGGCATTGCCAAGCTAGTTAGCAAAGGAGTTCGTGTTTCGCAGCTGAACTTTGAGCTGCCAAGAAAATTGCGATGCTTTTGTACCTCAGAACTTGCCGTAACAATGCCCCCGAGCACCTTTTTACTCTAATGTTTAAAAATGGAAAAATGTTTCAAAACTGAGTGCTGGCAGCCCAAGTGCAAAAATATCAAAGATACGGCGCATTTTAAGGCTGTTTAATCAATTTTCTAAATCTGAACAAATCGAACTTTTTATTTTTAATAATATTTTTAATCGCCTAATTATCGATTCGCTCTGAATGGCAATGGGTTGTATTGCCAGACGCTTACACAAAGAATTTGTTAATTCCAGCTTTTAGACAAACTGATACTACAACCAAAATGAGTTTTCCCTCTTTTACCACTACCAAAAATATCTTCTATTCACTAAAATATTAAGCGCATAATCAGCATGGTTCCTCAAATTGAAGCTTAAAGCTTAATGAACACTAAAAACTGATTACGTATACGCCATGTGGTGCTATGAGAGGGGCAAAAACGGCACACATAAAAGACAAAAAAAAAAGAATATATATAATAAAAATGAAAGCTGCTTATGCTTATAAATATTTACCAACAAAAGCGTTTCTCATTTTTTATGTGAATTCTTATATTTGTACATTAAATTGTAATTCACGTAAATTGCGGCGAGGGGCATGATATTACAAGATATTAGACAAGTGCTAGGTTCTAGCTGAGGGACAGATGCAGGAAGGGGCACAATGCCAATGGTTGTAACAAAGCATTTTTGCATATTTACTTAAATATCAACCATTTTAACGATTTACAGCGAAAATTTCATGCATTTTATGTAACCCAATGTGTGTGTGTGAATGTTGTTGTTCTTAAGCAAACATGCCGCCGTCTATGTGTCCGTGCGTGTGTGCGTGTGTGCGTAAGCATGAAAGGCCCTTGACCAAGTAACCATAAAGCATGAAGCATGCTGCAAATAAGTAAGGCTAGACAGCCTTAAGGATTCGCGGGGAGCATGTGCCGGGGGATGTGTAGCGCTGGTCAAAATGAGACCCCAGAAGCTGAGCCATGTGAGCTGTTCCAGTTCTCTCTCTCTCTCTCTCGCTCTCTCTCTTTTTCTCTCTCTCACACTCCCTTCAGAGTGTTTCATGTTTCAGCCATGTTTCATGTTTCGTTACGTTTGCCTTTCGTGTGAGTACTGAATCGGATACCGTAGACGCGGGGTGTGGCTTGGCAGCGACGGGTGTTGGCCATTGGGCGGTGGGTTGCGGCTTGTAGCAGGAAACATGAAATTTTAATAATGTTTATAATGCCAAAAGGATTTGTTAGTCAGATGAGGGCGGTTCGAAAAGTTCCCCAAAAAACTAAATCAGCGCCGGGATCCCAAACCAAAACGATGTAAGGTTCGATTGCAAATTCGAACCAACTCATTTATGATCATATGATCATATCATATATTTTATATATTTGAATGACACAATTTAAATTTTTATTTATGATTAAATGTAGTTGTTTTCATATACAGGATTTGCGCCAATTTGATCTGTATGTGAAATTGGACTAGGTCTTCTTCAACAACTTTTTACTTTGTGCCAAAAGTTATGGTTCGTTACGGATTTGAGTTAGTTGGTTTTTTAGATTTGAGGATCCAATTAAAATGGAGTTATATGTTCAAGTGGGTTCGGTTCAAACCCGGCTTGCAGCTCTGCATAGTATGTGTGTGCATAAATGGAGGCAGGTCTCGATAAACCCACGTTGGTACACAAATATGTTCTGTGTGTGTGCGTGTGTGTGTGTGTGTGTGTGTGTGTTTACTTGAACGTACATTGCCATTAAGCGTATTCGTTGCCGCTGCCGGCTCCCAACTACCCCCACCGCCCCCGGGTAGTGGTTCAAGCAATGACATATTGCGCTGCACAAATCCGCAAACAAACTTTATATGAGTGCCAAAGGATAAGAACAAACAGCGCCTGGCTTCGGCTCAGTCTCTGGCTCGCTGGCAGCATCATTGACATATATATTTCAAGCTGGAGGTGTGCGGGTAGGTGAGCAGAGTCCGATGCAGATGCACAAGGGCGAGTCAAGAAAGACCATAGCAGTAAGCGAGCAGCAAGTAGCATCAACCTGGCCAAACATTGAAGCCACTTGTCAAACTGTCCGGCCCATCGGCAGAAGCGAGTGTTGGATCAACAAGGACGGCCGCTGCCTCTTGTGGCATGTGGGAGCAGCGCCTCGTTTTCCATGTGCTTCCTCTTCGACTTCCACTTTTGATATTGAAAGCGAAGCGCTCAACTCGACTGTTTCCGAGATTTTGGTCAAGCGGCCGTTCAATGAACCGCATGATTTTAATGCTCTCCTCTGCACGCCAGACCAGAGCATTTTGGCCATGTTATTAAGTTCACCATCCCATGCTATTAAGGCCTTGCTGCGAGATGCAAATCTTGTGACTATATCAAGTGGAAAATGTTGCTCGGCCCTGCCCATTGTTGCTTCCGTGGCTGCGGCTGCGGATCTGGCGGGCGGATGAGCGCGTCATTTATTTTATGCTTCGACTCGCATGTTTATTGAAATTTCGTTTTACGATATTTGTTATAAAATTTAATTAGGCAATTGCCTGGCAAGCGGACATGTGTGTATGTATAAAAAGGTTACCAAGCCGAGGGCCACAACATAATTTAACAATTTTTGGGTTAAGTGCTTGGGTCGCGAAGATATCTTTATTTATGTACCTCACACTAGTCATACAGCTCGGCATATAGGCTTACACAGGCAGAATGTAGCCCACATCGTACATGAATGTACATACATGGTACCAAAAAGTGTTGTGCACATGTAAGTCAGAAGCTGGCATTTCTGAGCATTGCGACCAATATATATTACATTAAATATATTTATTTTTCTTGCCACATAGTCAAGTCAAGGATACGATCTATTTGGTCTGATTGTAGACTAAGGGCTCAAAATATATACTTGCTTGGGTTCCTGATTTTCTCAAAGCGAGTTTTCGTAAAAGTTCTTCATTAAAGCTCTTGAGTGTTTTCTGCTGTTGAAAAAATGATTTACTAGGCAATGGGTTGCCAAATAATTGCTCAGTCAATGCCTGCAGAAGTTTAAAATTATTCGAAACTTTCAAAAATTTAAGAATAGTAATGACAGGCAATGCTCTTAGTGCATAATAATTTTCTATTTTAATTTACAGTGGAGTGGTACAGTGGAGTGAAACCAGCTCTCTAATTTCATTTGTGTTGATTTGCGCAAAGGAAGTTCGAGTAGATTGTCGCTGTTTACAGAGCATCTCCTGGTCGAGCACTATCCAACAGAATATACTTCTCGTAATATAAGACAATTCAATGGCAATTGAGTGTGTGCAGCGCGAAAAACGATTTTATTGTATGGTTAATTTTATTGTAATGAAACTTGAAATGTTTCAAAAGTTAATTGCCTTTTTGAAGATCTGTAAAAATAATTGAGCCACAGTCTCAATGAATCCATCAAAATGCTGGATAGCTCACGAATTGCAAGAGATAAACTTGTTTTCGGCTTAAGTTAGTTTGTAAAAACAGTTGCATAGATTGAACTGGTAATATGCTTAAAATGATATACATATAATTTCTGGCTTATAAACTTTTTCAAATTAACACAAACTCAACATTTTCTGAAATCTAGGAAGAGCATCTCGAATTTGCATTCGTGCCATATTTTTTGTTTCAAACTTATTCGAATAAATTGTGAGCTTTATCTTTTGCTGTCGGCCCACTCGATATCTTTAAAGTGCTGCGACCGCGCCATGGCCAACCAGCCCGTTGGCCAGTTGATTGCGAACTCCCCTCAGCTATATTCAAGCACTTTATTCATATTTTTTGCCAATTCGGGTGCGTGGAAAACAAAGCAATTTCCTATCTATCAGATTAAACTATAAATTTCATAAAGTTCACTGCATATTCACGGCAATTCAAACGTAACGAATTTAAATGGCCAAACAACGCGCCAACAGTCCACACAGACGGCCAAAGTCAGAAGGCCAAAAGGGCCAAAAACGTGGCTGGGCACAATACGCTGATAGCTGTCGCCACAGGGGTGAGTAGGCGGCGAGGCAGCTGGCAAGGGCTGGCTGGTGTGGTGGGGGCCAAAGTGGGCCGCCACGCTGGGTCGCGCAATCGAAATGATGCTTGAAGCGATTTCAAAAAGTCAATGGCTTGCATTTTATGAGCTTTTCGGGGCACTCGAAGTGTGTAGAAGTCGAGCCCAATTTTTGGTTATTAGTTTTGTCGGCGGGTGCCAAAGTGGAACCTGCTGGCGATGTTACCACCCCCGAACCCTGAACCCAAAACCCCCAAACCCCGCTAGAGTACTTTGCTGTTACTGTTGTTGTTCTTGTGGCAACATTATCGAATTTTGTGCGTTTTTTGTCACAGCCCAAACCGCGCTCTGATATTTGTCTATGTATAAGTGTGTGTGTGTGTGTGTGTGTGTGCGGGGTTTGTGAGGGTGTGCGCGGTCTGCAACGACTTTAAAGAACCCCGCCTAATTATCAGTCGAATTGCGTGGAGGCCAGAAAACTCATTTCCCTTTGCCAGCTCATTTTGTGTGTTTCCCTATTAACGTAACAAAAGTTCAACATTTATTGTTCTTGTTATTATAGCTTTTTCAACAAATTATTGCCTTGGAAATTTTCGACTCACACACACACACACACACACACAAGCCCCGCTCACCAACTTTGTTTGGCTTTGTTGTTGTCGTTTTTCATGTCTTCCGTT